AGGCACTAGGGTAATTGTTGAATAAAGTGTTTTTTTCTTTGCGCACAAAGTATTGTCATAGCTTCATGAGATTACGATTGAACCTCGGATGTCATTGCTTTTTCCAGATCTCCTGGCTAAGTTTCTGGACGTTGATCGTGGTAGTACCCTTGCAGTCCATGGGAGGGTCAGAGAGCTGCCAGAATGCATCAACTTCATTTATGTTCCAAAGATGAATGGAGGTCTTATTGGAATGATGTGAGGGTCAGTAATGACAATTTACATTTTTGGGTGAACCAATCCTTTAAGACTAAACTCAAGTGGACAAGTCTTTGGATGATTAAAAACGCACAAACATCAAGCAGAATGAAATACAATCATGGCACATTGGTGAAATGTCAGTCAAACATTAAATCAATTAACACCGAGAAAGCAACTAAATGTTCTTCCTAATAGGCATGTCAGCAATGGATGTGAATCCAGATCATTTCAACCAGCAATCGCATCAGAAGAAAGTCAAACTCCTGGGACTGTGAAAATAGTTGACAGGTTGCATTGTTGAATACCATGCACTGTTTGGTCTGCCACAATAGTTTTGTTAATCCAATTAATCCATCTGCATAACTCTCCAAATATAGTTTAACCTTGGTGTCAAATCAAGTCTAACAATTTAATGAACTGCACATGGATACCGCTTGAGCGCTCAAACGTCTTCCTGGCTCCATGATCCGGATGCTCTGATCAACAGCGCTGAGGCCACACAGGGATCCTGCTTGAGCGGAGACGGTCAAAACATTGCCCTCACTAGGAACAGCCGTAGGTGGAGAAAACTGCAGAGACACCTGGACCAAGAACAAGCGCAAACTGAAGGACATGTTGCCACACCCCACATGAAGTAAAGAGATGCTATATATCCACATACCTGGTTTTGGAAACACATTTCAGTGTCAAAAGCTGCACTAGCAGCAACTACATTCTCACTGGGCAGAACACAGAAGGCCAGAATCTGCACTACTGGAGCCATATCAAGACTGACAGACAGCTCAAATGGCACAGTGCCACTTTTAAGTGCATTCAAAGCCCTCACTTGGACCTTTTGAAATCCATGCAGAACAATCACTCCTCTGGACAACACCTGACAGAAAACAGACAGACTGGTGCATAAAAGGTGGGGAGGGGGGGGGGGAAACACACACACCACACAACTAGTGCAGTCATCAACCAGCATCCACTCACCATATAGATTATGTCAGCACTGTAGTCACCAGTTTCACCAACAAATGAATATTTGACTGTAACTGGATACTTGGCACCACATTTCAGTGGTTGTTCAAACTTGACTATAGTCAGTTCACTAAAGGTTGGGTTATTGGGAGTAGCAGTTTGGAAGAGCGGCACAGTCCTCGTGTCCGTACTGAAGTAGGGCGATTTATATCCATAAACAACCTGTGAAGTTGCACTTGCCTGAGGAACAAGTTAACAGAATTGGTTTCTTGCAAGAGTCTTAATTTTAAAAAATAAAATAATCTGATTAAGGCAAATCGTACCACCAGATTGAGATCAGCTTTAGGGAGATCAGCAGTGTTCAGGGAGAAGGCAGCCAGTCCATTCATGTTCGTAGTCAGATTCAGCAGCAGTTTGTTGGGCCATTGGCTACCATCCAGGAGATGGACTGCTTTGCTTGCGATTGGAGTCCCATTGAAATAAGATGCTGAGATCTTTTGGGAAAGAAAAGGTTAGGAAAGGGAACCAATTAGGACCGTCTAATAAGGATGAAGCTTTACTCACCTTTCCGTTAATTATTGATCCATAGGTAAAGAAACCTGGGAGGTCCAAAAACGTGACCTTGCCAACTTCAAACGTAATGGACACAGTTGTGGATTTTGACATCATTACATCTGGGAGGAAACAGAAAGGCCACAAACATAAGGCACCAAATAAAATCAGGGTCACTGGTTCAAATCAGCCAGCAGCTCACCTGTTCCCTCCTCCGTGACATTCACGTTAACTAGAAATAAATCTTGCAGGTCATTTCCAAATTTGGTGTTGAAAAACATTGATGTACTGATGGTAAGGGAAACACAGCCAGTTTTGTTCATCTGGTAGCAGAATAAAGGGAGGTCAGAATTAAATTTAGACATGCAGAAGAAAACAACCCTGCTCTGTACAGCGGTCTCATACCATAGCAGTTTTGATAAGACACACACGAGACAGGCCAGGTACCACCGCGTACGGGAACGGCTCACGACACACTTCCACCAACGCTTGACCAGGTACAGGTTGCCCATATGTGTAACTGGGAAAAATGTTAAGGAACAAGATCAGCAACCAAAAAGACAACAAATCAAGAACATTAAAAGCATATTCTTACTTGGCACAAGCCTCAACTTTCAGTCCCACATCTCCCACACTATACATCAGTGGTGCAATCAAGGTGACATCAAACTTGGGTAAAACTAAACCAGAAACAAATGCGTTAAATTAGGACATCAGTCAGTAATCAAAACTACCCATTGCACATCATGTGGTGACTTACCATACTTTTTCACCTCAAAAACCTGTGACATCATTCGGTCACCAATAAAAGCCCTCAGTGTGTACATCCCAACCTGAGCCTCAGGGTTTAACTGGTGAGAAAGCTGCAATATCCACCCTGTTGAGGAAACGTTGGTCCACTGACCAATCCGGTTATTATGATTGTCCTATTTGGAGGGAAAAAGCTTGGAATAAAATACAGAAAGGAACATAAAAACATAGGCCATGCAATGGTAAACCAGTGTTGGATCGATCCAAAGGCTTGGTCCAGAACAAGTTCTCACCTCCACCACCACTAGACTGTACTGTAAAGACAAACAGCAATTAAAAAAAATTATATATATATAAAAAGTGTACCAAGACTAGAAGCAGATCAGGCGTTACCATTTGATCAAGAGGAACAAATTTAGCATCCATGGTCACAACCCTGAAGTTCACTGCAAAAGGGAAACATAACTCCCATCCATTACATAATGCATTTGAATGCGTTAATTCCATTACACTACAAGTTCTGATCACTTTTAATATTCATCCACCGGCCATTTGTAGCTCACCCATTTGTCCTGGATTATAGATGGGTTTGTCAGTTTGGATGAAGGTCAGAGGAAGGTAACGTCTGAACAGGACTTTCCTCTCTTCGGTCATTTTGAAGAACCTCCCTTGAAGTACCACCCTCAGTTTCTGCACCAATTCGCCGTCTACATGAGGAGCCTGTAGAGAAACTGTTAATACACTAAAGAAAAAAATAAAATAAAATAAAATAGGAACACTGCATATGCCACACCTGGAAACTAAAACAGCGGTGAAACTCCGTTGAAGATCTCTGCTGCACGAGCTGTGTGGTCCGGTTTTTGTCATCAACCAGATAGATGGTCAACGCAAGACTCTCATTGGGTTTTAAAAGACTTGCACACAATTTGGCATTAGAGCCAGACTCGATCACTGCAGAAAATGTCACCAAGAAGGATCTGTGGAAACAAACATTTATTATTATTATTATTAGTCAGTCAGATCAGCACACATTCATGCAGGTGAATAATCAGGAGGTAGTTTCCATAATATAGAGACTAAACACAAACTTTGAGGAATAGCGTTTAGACAAAAAGGACACTTTATTTTTCACTTCAAAGCCCATTTACTCACGGTCCTGATGTCTGTCCATCAACAGCAAAGAGAAAAAAGGCTAAAATGAGCCCTTTCCAAACACAAAACTCCTTCATAGCCATGAAGAACAATCATCCAAGACTAGACCCAAATCAAGTGCCTCTTTCAGAAACCCTGCAGAACTTCTCCAAACTCTACAGCTCTTCACCGCTCCACAGATACTCTCAAGCAGCTGCACTGATGGCAGCCATTTTTAAACGCTCTTAATTGGAGGAACTCATTGAGCTTGTTAACGTCAATAATTAACATCCAGCCTGGAATTAATTTAGTCAGTTTATTACTCCATCTAGTTTAGCTTTAAAACAACACATCTTAAATACTGCAAGATATATATAGGATATATATCACCTGCAAGGAGTGTTTGTTCCTCGAGTAGCCACAATTTTAATAGAATGAAGAACTTGAATAACCGAACGTATAAATCCATTAATCTAATTGTTGCTTGTGTGACAGGTGTTAATAAGAGTGTGCACTCACAATCTAAATTAATGTATTTCACTAATGAGCCTTCCTTTCAATTTTTATGTATTTACTTTATATTAGTTGTTCACGAAAACGTGATAATTTAATTTTGTACTTTATTTGTGTCATTTTTGGAAAAATAGTTTTATATTCATTTTACGTATGTTATATAATACATTTTCAAACAATGATTTTAAGTCTTTTAATTTGATATTAATTTGATTTGATGTTTTAAACAATTCAAACCAAATTTAATATATACAGTTTTGCTGATAAGGTGAACATCTTTTTAGCTATTCTTAGCCTATATTTATTGCAGTGTAAACAGAATCGTTTGACCTGCCCTATTTTAAAAAGGAAACATGCAAATTACCATTTTCTTCAAGTTGTATCCTTCAAATACAGTGGTATTTTTCATAACGTTGTGGAGATGCCTTCGCACAACATCAACACCTGCACGTTGAGCACGCTGAGGAGAGGTAGGAAGTTAGCAAGTCTCCGTAGTTAAATATATCGGTGTTTGGATGGAATCTAGATTGACATTTGCAATGCACATTAAGAAACTGATTAATAAATGTAAAACAGGAGTAAATATCTTACGATGTCTATCTGGGGTAGAATGGGGAGCTTGTAGATTGTCATTGAAAATAATTTATTGTACATTAATCGCATTCAGTCAATAAAAATCAAATGTCTTAATTTGTTTGAGAATGGAGAAAGACAATTCCATTAATAGGCTCCAGCGTCGTGGCGACATTCCCACTTCGGGAGTGCATTATTCCTCTAATCATTTTAACGGCCTGGTGTCACAACCACACCTCAAGATATTGTTCAGAAGATTATTTATTTTAAGATAAACCTTCCGTTGCAAATTCCAAAACGTAATTTTAGAGCTAATAACAGAGGCTTGGGCCATTGATATGCAGGCTAATGCAGTTATTAGAGAGAGAGAGAGAGATTAAGTGCGTGTGAATACCTGCGTCTTATGCGTGTTCAGCAGCAGTGTCTACTAATAGCGAATCTTTAAGTTGAACTGCTTCAAGAACCTCGCTACTGAGAAATGTCATCTAAGAATATGTTGTGGTGCGTTCAAAACATCTCCCATTGCAGCCATGCAAGTTGGGGAAGCTCCTTTATTCTTTCATAGGTATAAATTAAGAATGAATTATTGGGTTAATCTAAAAGGACATAAAGAGAGTCATCCAGTAAAGGGTGTGATTGAATTATGTCTTCTGGTGTTTGATTCTTTTACTGTTGTAGATAACCCATAGTAGGGTGAATTCGGGTAATCTGGGACACCTTAGCTCCAGTGTGTTTATTTCCTGTTATTTTACTTATACAGGACTATAATTTTAGCATGGATATCACGTGACTCCTGGGAATTGCATGAAACGGTCAGTGACATAGGATTCTGACTAGATTAATGTTAAGGACATAAATCGGTCATAAATAAGACAATGCTGTTTTCAAATTATGTTTGTGATCTATTCAAGCAATAAGCCGTATTAAAGTGTTAAAAATGTGTTTTAGTTTTCTTTCAAACATTTGTTTGTTGTCCCACATTATCAAATATGATTGAGAATGTGGGACAGCATGCTTTGTGTAATCTGGGACAGTCTTCAAATGGGGGAAATACGCATTTAGGGACATTATAAGTGTAATGACAAGGGCTAAATGGGTGTTAATGTGGACTACTGGAGGTTATAACATTAGCATAAATTCACAGTAGCTAGCAGCTAGCTAAACCAGCTAGCTAGAGAGATGCTACAGAGATGGAATCTGGGAAACGTATATCAATATATATATATTGGAATATAAATTTTCTTATTGAAATTTCTGTACTTTTCTCACTCCTCGAAAAAGAGTGCATACGCATGGTCTAAGTCCGTACATGCGTACATAATTCAGCAGCAAGTAGGAAATGGAGGAAGTATTTTTAGGAATAGGAAAGAAGATACAATTATTTCTCGCATCCGAATAGGGCATACTAGATTAAATTACTCTCTGTTTAATATAGGAAAACATGGAACAGGTCAATGTATTTTTTGTAATCAGGCAGAAACGATATAGCACGTTTTAATAAAATGTAAAAAATATGAAAAAGAAAGGTTAAAACTCATTAAGGAAGTAAAAAATATGGGTGTTGAATCATTTAATTTGTCAAATCTCTTGAAAGAGCATGCAGAACAAGGTAAAATATATGGTGCTATTGTTAAATACATTAAAGAAGTAGGATTAGTCAGGAGAATTTAGGAATGTGTGGGTTTTTATTATTTTTTTATTTCTTTATTTCTTTTTATATAAAATATAGATAAATATAAATATGTATATATTAGTGCTCCACACTCCAGTCCAGTTGGTGGCGGTAAATGCACCAGAAGTTGGTTTGCCATCCGCCATAAAACGTTATTAGAAGAAGAAGAAGAAGAAGAAGATATAGTCAGGAAATTAAAATATTTACAGATGGATCCAAAGATCCTGTTTCAGGAAATACAGCAGTTTCTATATGCATTCCTCATTTTAAGATTAAAATTGCAAAAAGGACAAGTAATCATTTATGGGTTTTTATTATTTTTTTATTTCTTTATTTCTTTTTATATAAAATATAGATAAATATAAATATGTATATATTAGTGCTCCACACTCCAGTCCAGTTGGTGGCGGTAAATGCACCAGAAGTTGGTTTGCCATCTGCCATAAAACGTTATTAGAAGAAGAAGAAGAGGTAGGCAGTTAGTGGTGCTTCTTCAATACAAGCTTGTAAAAGTTATCAGAAGTTTTATTAAGTACCTAGTATGCAAAAATATTATTGTTAAGAGTGTTATACATGTACTGGAAAGTGTTTTATTCGTGGATGGATGGGATTTAAGAGTGTTATTACTGAGTACAGCGATTTGAATATACAGGTGCATCTCAATAAATTAGAATGTCGTGGAAAAGTTAATTTATTTCAGTAATTCAACTCAAATTGTGAAACTCGTGTATTAAATAAATTCAATGCACACAGACTGAAGTAGTTTAAGTCTGGTTCTTTTAATTGTGATGATTTTGGCTCACATTTCACAAAAACCCACCAATTCACTATCTCAACAAATTAGAATACTTCATAAGACCAATAAAAAAAACATTTTTAGTGAATTGTTGGCCTTCTGGAAAGTATGTTCATTTACTGTACATATACTCAATACTTGGTTGGGCCAGTATTGTCAAGAGGAAGATGAGAGACACTAGACCCAACAATGCAGATGACCTGAAGGCCCCTATCAAAGCAACCTGGGCTTCCATTACACCTGAGCAGTGCCACAGGCTGATTGTCTCCATGCCACACCGCATTGATGCAGTAATTCATGCAAAAGGAGGCCCAACCAAGTATTGAGTACATGTACAGTAAATGAACATACTTTCCAGAAGGCCAACAATTCACTAAAAATGTTTTTTTTATTGGTCTTATGAAGTATTCTAATTTGTTGAGATAGTGAATTGGTGGGTTTTTGTTAAATGTGAGCCAAAATCATCACAATTAAAAGAACCAAAGACTTAAACTACTTCAGTCTGTGTGCACTGAATTTATTTAATACAC